TACTTCCTACCACAACAATATTGCATTGATGATAGAGATATGTTTCAAATAAAGTATGCATTCTCAACATGCTCTTTTTAGTTCATCCTCAATGATTTTTATCAGGCATTTTATCCCAATTACACAGTAATAGGATTTAAGATTATTGTCTTTAGGGGTGGTTCATTATTTGTCTTTTTTTTTAAGCTTTTCATATTATTCCCTTAACCCTTTACATCCTAACATCAGTATGCATATTCTCAATACTATTCTCCAAACATTTCCTAAGGTGTTGAAAAGGTGAATTTGTTAAATGATCAAGAGTTTTTTCAGTTGGAGATTATTTCCTCTATTCTTGTGACCTTAAAGTTTGATTCAAGGGTGATACACCAAAGAGAAATTAGATGGTTAAATTTTAACCATTAAATGCAAGCACTCAATGTAGGTTTAAAAAACAATTAGGATTTTATTTGTTCTCACACAAATTATTGTGAAATGTTTGCTTACAATTGAACTTAAACTTTATCCAGGCTGGGGTAGTTCTACTTTCCAAGGCAGCAAATCCCAAATCCTTATGCAAGCCAAGATGCCCATTGTTGAGTACAATACCTGTGCTAAAGCCAACCAACCCCTTGGTGACGTTGTGGATTCACTGATGCTATGTGCAGGGTACGGTGGGAACAGCAGAGTAAGTGGATGCCACGGAGACAGTGGTGGACCTCTAGTTTGTCAGGATGAATCTGGTTTATGGACACTTCGTGGTACAGTTAGCTGGGGGGATCATTACTGTAAAGGAGGCCCAACCTACTCTGTGTTTGTAAGAATCAATAGTTATGTTGAGTGGATCAAATGCAAGATGACTTCACAACCTCTGCAACCACGTAAGTTTAAAATTGATGAACAAAGTTGAAGAATTATTTTCATTTCATAAAGATGTCTCTCTTGGTCAACAATTAAACACATGTCCAAGCAAAATGCATGGAATTGCACTTTGTCAATAACCATTGGTTCAATTTTATTGCCTCAAGCTTATTATAAATACCATAAGATATTTACTTCTTTTTAACCATGCACAAGGGCTGTATTAGGAAATATTAGCCAGTGGTCATTGAAGTGCAAACCAAGCGCAGCAAGGTCCACAAAATTTTTAGAGAGTAATTTTTTAAATGGCATTTGGACTAACCTTGTTTATTTTATGTATAAAAAGCACTTCTGGTTACTTGAATTCAAAGGGCTTCAGTGCCGTGACATGTTTTTGATGACACAAGCAATTCAGAGAGAACAAACTTCCCAAACTTTCAGCATCAAATCATAACTGATGGTTTTCATCTTTAGCTGGTAAAACAAAATGTATTGATAAAAACCTCTATACCATTATCTGAAGAGCAACTGCACCAAACTGGATTGGAGTTGGCAAATTCTCCTGCTTCAAAAAGAGGATCTTATTTGCTTATGATATGATGAAATTTAGTTCCATAGCATTTTTTGCCAGATGCAAGGCTTTTCCCTCGAAACAACCAACAGAAACTAAATCATTCCTTACTGACAAGTACCTTAATAATAATTCATCTATTCACTTAAAAAATTTGATAAGGCTTTGTGTATCATAAATTAATGGAAATCAAGTCCACCTATTTTAAGTCTGGTTTTCACTAGTGACGCAAGCACAAGGGCAAGCACAAGGGCAAGCACAAATGCAAGTACATGTACATGTACATAACAGCTCTTATTTCACTGCGAAACTGGCCTTGATGCAAGCATAACCACAAGCACATGCAACAGCACAAGGATCAAAAATTTTCCTTTCTCACCTGCTTGTGCTTGTCAAGGTTTGTTTTCATTTAGCATGTTAACTTTATACTTTGGTTTGTGCTTACACTTGTGCTTCCATCACTAATGAAAAGAGGGCTTTGAATTAAGGTTAATCACCATTTTATAGCTCAGACTCTATGTCAGCTGCTTTTTGTGTTTGTTTTTTAAATGGCAACTGAAAGATGATCTACTCTGGCTATAGTTTACAGTCCCAATGTTACAAAAATCAATGTTACTATACAGATTGTGTCTGTGTTATCTGCCTCACCCTTGAACTCAGTCCGGCGGATAACTCGGACCTCGGCATTGATAATTCATGATATCGTACTCAACCTCATCCAATAATTTCTTATAAACGTTAACTAAAACATATTTCTAGCACAAGGATGTGTAGACACTCATGACTACTGCAGCACTTGGGACAAATACAACTTCTGTGAAAACTCCTACTTCGGCAATATGCTGAAAACGTTTTATTGCAAGAAGACCTGCAAAGCTTGCTGATAAGGTAAACATTAGTTTTTAAAATGATTCTGTTGGTAGTGTATTTTGAATTCAACATAGATATAAATGTCCGGAATCAACACGCCGAGTGGTGGTTTGAAACATAACATTTTGCCTTCTTTGTGTTATTAATTTCATTACATACCATTGCATTACATACCCTACTTCCAATCCGATTGGTAAGCTCCAACATCAGTCTTTTTTTTCTAAAATATTAAGAGATTTTTGACATTAAAATCGTCTCGCTTTTGAGATTAAATTTTATTTAGTTGCGTGTGTTCGAGAAAATCCCATAGAATGCCCATCACTCGGTATTCTGTGTAAAAAAACTAAATCTCTTCCCCCTCACATAGGCGCCATCTTGCAGAAAATATCCCAGGCATTTTATTTTGTGACCAGCAATTTGAGGAAGACTAGGAACTAAACTTCCGGGCTTTACACGGGTGGGTGACATACATGTACAAACCAGATTGAAAAATTATGTTGTTGAATGAATACAGTAATTCCTCTCTTTGCAACGCAAAAAATTATAATACTTATAAAACAGACTGTCTAGATATAAGGGTTAATTGCAACAACGTCGAAATAGCAAAGCGTGGCTTGAGATTAAAGGCTTTTCTCTACGAGTTCTCAATATCAGGTTGAAATTTTCAGTCATCCCTGAAGGAGTTAATAAATAATGGTAATTGAACTGAGTGGAATGCAATTTGGGCTGAAATTATACGCGTGATTTAAAAATCGAACGAGCGCGCAGCACAAGTTCGATTTGAAATTATAAGTATGATTTCAGACCAAAATTGCACGACACGAGGTTCAATTACCACTTTATTACATCCATTTCGAAATTACCGAAATACAGGATTTGGTTAGTTCAAATATTTTATTGATGCAGTACTGAGCCGGTCTGAAATTAAACTCGTCCATTTTTTGGGGGGAAAAAGTAAGAGTTAAGAAACAAAAGTTGCAAAATTTGCCACATGATACTCTTTGTCTTTCATTTTCCTGCAATTTGATCGGTTACTTTAAACAAACCTTAAATCTGATTGGTTTTGTTTTTAGTGTAGCCTCCTCGTTGGCTGGGAAAAAGATGCGATTTAAAGCAAAAAATGGTGCGATTCGTGAATAAATCGCATAAATTAGAGCCAATCAGATTACAGGGACCACCAGTGATTTCAAAACGGGTGTTATAAATGGATAAATTTACTGGTATACTCTGATTATTAAAAACAATTTCGACTCACGATGATTTTTTTTCTTGTTTCTTGGATTACAGTTACGTCCATGTTCACCATTTGACGATAGATGTTTCGCAAAGGATTTTAATTTATTTTGCTTTTGGTCCATGTTTGTTTGTATTCTGAGTTATACCATGACAATAAACAGAAAGGTTATCCAGGGAAAATCCAGACAGATACCTTAGTCTATTATGACTTGCATGTGGCCATAATGCACCTCATAACGATACGTATAAAATGATTCTGACATTTTTTTCTGCAATCTTACCATTTAAGATGTTCCCAGTTAGAAATTTCACGTACGTACATTCTCTTTTTAACTAATTTTGTTCTAAGTACGTATTAAAACAAGAGCACATGGACTCCAGTTGAAAAAATGTCTCATTACTCCAAAAGATTGCAAGTCTTTGAGAGGATGGTGACGAAATTGTGAGTCGTTGAAGGTTTCATAGATGCTAGAGGCCAATGTTTAATTTTTTCCCAAGACGTTACCTCTGACTTGTGCGCAGCCACACCTGCATGATCGAAACTCATCTTTCTGGATGTCACTTCGGTTATGCAATGCAACACAAGTATGATGACAATATAAAGGCAAAAAGATGAAGAATGGAATTACAAGCGAAGAACAAATGAAAAAAAATCCTGAGCTTCGTGGACTGGAACCTTAAACTTTTGCTACTATCGACGAATTTCAAAGCTTCGCTAGATGACTTGAAAAACAAGGCAAACTTTTTGGGCGGGCTTGTCGATTTTGAAAGGATGATGGCATTCACGCCAATCATCTGTCACAAGCGTGGGAAGCCCACTAAAATTGTCAGTATAAACTATTGCACATTTTCTTGAGTTCAATTATGGTTAGTTATGTACATTCAAATGTTATGATTAAAAGCTTGAGGCTATGATTCCAAGCTGAGCACTATGCAGCCCACCCCCGCGCCTCTCCCCTTTTCCTTATCAACCTACCTCGTTAAGCTTAACTGAAATTTTATTTTCGGCGTTAGTTATTCATGCGTATCCCCCTACTGCGAATTAATTTCGAATGTATGGCCTCAAATGTGATGCGGGTATAATTTTAAGATCATCGTCAATCAATGCTGAGTAAATGTTTACCTTGATATCCTAAAGCATTAAGGGACATTTGATTAAAACTGAGGCCGTGTGCCACTTTAAATTACGTTTTAACCACCCGTAAAGCCATTTTCTAGTGTACTGTGCATTTGTATAATAGGAAGAACCAAGCTGTTCAAATATGCCGTGTGACAACTCACAATCAAAACTTCTCAGTCTGCATTAGTCAAAAACTTGCATTTGCAGTTTGAGAAGTTTGATCGGCAACAAATAATTGCAATGATTTTAACACCTACATCGTAACTGATTTTCTTTACAAAAACAGTAGACGTCACGCAAGAACAATTCCATACGGCCTCTTTTGATCGTTCATATCCACGTTATAGCTTTTATATCGGCCTTATTTGTTTGAACAACTCCCTAGGAACGACAAAGAAAAGTCGTCTCACAATGATCATTCACTATGAATGATGTTGATTTTGAGCCTAAAGCAATTTTCATTTGAAAGGATTCTTTACTTAAACTGAAACACGTAGTAACACTACTAGGAGCAGTATTTTCAACAAGCAAAATGGTAGTTGCGGTGGTGGTTTTTCTGGCAATTTGCTTATTGCAGCTCAATCAAGGTGAGACATTTCTGTAGCTTGCTTTACGTGATTGAAGAATACATGTAGGGACAGGCATATTTTTGAAGTCCAAATTCGTCATATACCACGTCTAGTCGTCATATAAATGTAAAGTGGTTATATCTCTTAACTTAAGTGTAAAGAAGTAGAGTAATTCCTTTCAAACTACGCAATTCGCTCATTCCTTTACCCCTGACGCGTGATAGCGTTGAAAAAGCAAAAGAAATCAAAGGACATCGAAAAAGGCGTCATGAAACAAACTGTTTTCGAGAACTGTAAAATAGTCAGACACTCCATGGAACTTTGACCATCAAAATTTGACGGTAATGCCTTATAAATCGATGCTGTTTCGCCTTTTGTATTATCAAGGGTTCTCTTTAAACGGATGAAAATGCTCTTTTAAACCGACAATCTTAGTTACAAAACTATTCCAATGCCTCATTCATCACCCAAATACAAATATTGTCGCACCTATGTGATCTGTCATCGTACTCCTAACCTAATTAAGCGTTTCATTGAAAAACGTTCAAGTTGTGCATTAAGCAAAAGTGGCTAGTGTAGAATCTAACGTTTGTAGCTTAAATAAGTGTCTAATTACCAAATTGGTGTGTTTTTTTTCTTTTCTTTTATTACTTTATCTCGGTTTCTTTCCCACTTTATCTCCATCCTTCAACATTTCTTAACGTTATATTTATATCATTCATTTGCACTTTCCTCTTTCTTATTATTTCTGTGTATTTATTTTTTTTTTTTGCCTTATCAATGATGCTCTATTTACCTTTTATCAATTAATTTTTTTCGCTGAAAGCGTCCTCATTTAGCGGTTGTGGACAGCGAAATCCGTCGTCTCGCATTGTTGGAGGAGAGGAAGCCAAACAAGGTTCCTGGCCCTGGCAAATAGAGCTCCTAGTGTCACAACCATCAGCTGACAATGACTTGAAACCAGTCTTCTCTCATCGTTGCGGAGGAACCTTAATTGATCTTCAATGGGTGGTGACAGCTGCTCATTGCGTTTTCATGTACCCCGCCCCTGACCATTATAAAGTTGTCGTAGGTAAGTAAACATAGTAACTTATAGTCTTCCAGTTCCTTCTCTTCGTGGTCAGGCGTTCGATATAATTTATGTTTAGAAATGCCCCTAAAACTTTATCAGTATTTTTCATCCCTTCCTCAGCTAATACGCAGTCTCTGTCTCCATATGCTTCTCCTGTTCCTTTATATTATATTATTATATTTATGAGAGTATATTTGACTTCTTTAGTCAGGAGTGTTGAGTTGTTCAGAAAGAAAATCAATACCATTCGTGTACCATGATTAATTATGTACACTCCAAAGAGGGGTAAAGCCGCCTCAGCTGGCGGCTTGTGTATGGGCAACTAATGACAGGATCGTATTTTAACAGGACAGACACATCGAACTGAAGTAAAGGAGCCATACGAGAACAAAGACGTATACGATGTGGCAAGCGTAAGGATCCACGAAGAATATATGACTCATGGCTACGGCTTTGATGTTGCGCTGGTGAAACTAGCAAGACCTGTTATTTTAGAGCCTGGAAGAGTCTGGCCAGCCTGCCTTCCTGAACAAGGAAAGCGAGTGTCTGTTGGAAAATTATGTTTCATCACTGGTAAGTTTCAGAGTGTAAATATGTTAGCCAAAACTACCTAAAAAAGTGCATAATTTCACTCCGGGTCCTTGTTAGTGAAAATAACACTTTACTTACAGTATGGAACAACCTGCCCTAGAGTGTTAAATGTACTGACTCTTTTTCAAGTTTTAAACTAGTTTTAAAGAATATTTTTAAGGAGTACTGATATATGGTTTTTAAATATAATTATCATATGCATTGGGATATAACTACAGTTTTTTAAATTCTTTTAATATCATTTTTCATATTGAAATTATATTCTGAAAAGCCTCAATCGGAGAATTAAATAAAGCATAGTTATGAAGGAGCTGTATTCATTTGGAAACAACACGATAAGGCTTTAAGTTGAGATATTTATTCATAGTAAGAGAGATGAACAGTGTGAGATGAACTTTCTAATTGTCCTTGAATTCGTAAAACAGATTCAATTTGACAAATACCTGCAGGCCTTTCTCACCAGACTGACGTATCAGCAAAAAATAAAAATATCAGACTTAACTCCCCTGTCAAGATGTGTACCTCGAAGCTTCCTCTTCGGATACAGTAACAGATCGCTTTCGCAAGTTACTTCAGTGCTTAGCTTTGAACTTGAGAGTCCACCTTCCTACGCTATGGTCCGGCGGCACGCTCACCTTAATTACTTTTACGTTGGACCTCGGAACCCCGGCCTCCCTTTCTCTCCCCTTCATTTCCTCTCCCTCCCTCTCTCCATAATCCCCGTGTAGTAGTTAGTCTCTCCAACCAAACATCAAACTGGTCAGTGGTGTGTCCTTGAATAAGGTAATCTTAAGGATGAACTCCTTAGAAATCTGAAGAAGCTGTTTAGTATCTAGGTATTGGAATCGTGCATACTGAATACTGTTCACGCTCTATCGTTCTAACTTCACTCTTTTCTTTTGCCCAAGGCTGGGGCAAAACATCGGCGAACTTGAACTCTGACTTTTCGAAAGTTCTTAAACAAGCTAAAATGCCAGTTGTAGACTACCAGACCTGTGCTGCTGGAAATGCCAACTTGTCTTACGCCAAAGTGAACGATGAAACTATGTTGTGTGCTGGTTACGGTGGAAGTAGCGTAATCAGTGGTTGCCATGGTGATAGCGGGGGACCTTTCGTCTGTCGGGAGCGCAGACTTTGGGTCTTAAGAGGAGCTGTAAGCTGGGGAGACCATCGGTGTAAAGCTGGTTCGACATTCTCTGTTTTTACTCGGATCAGCACATTTGTGGATTGGATCTCCGCCACTAAAATAAAACCAGAACATGTGTCTGGTAAGATAAACAGGATCTTTATAATTCCTTCTTTGTCGATTAAAATAAATTTAATAGAGAATGTCAAAGTTTTGATCCAACAAAGTGTTACAGATATCAAGAACTGAACATTTCAAATTTACTCTTGCCAATTGCAAAAGGATCCGTTGAGAATAGTAAGTGATTTATCCATTACATTCTGCAATTTACACAAAACTGTTAATGGTTCACCAAAGTTGAGAACAGCTTTCTTATCAAACTTTCCCATGTATATTAACTCCGCCTGCCCTCCTCCCCATAGGCGAGTCTTGCAATGATGACTTGCTGCATTGTGGAAAGTGGTCCAAGGAAAAGTTTTGTGGAAGACCATGGTATAGGAACTACATGAAGTTATTCTGTCGCAAGAGCTGCGGACACTGCTCCAATTAAGCCTTCAGCTCTTTCAAAGGTGTGAGCCCACGTTGCGAAAGTCCTCTATATGACTTTCTTGATTTTCCCCGTGATGAATGGGGCTTGAGCTTAAGTGATAGACTTCATCTTTCAATCGCGTTTGTCTTTAATTTTTCAGGTTGCAAACATGGAAAGGCAGATATTGTATAAGGAACCTACTTTTAAAACAGTTCGTCTTGTTAGGGGCATGGAAAATACGTGAAGTTACAATAAGTTACAATAAAGTGACGCATGACAACTACAGTAAAATGTGATAGACGTTTGTAGAGAGTTGTGACGTGAACCGGAATAAAAGGCAACAAAACCTGAAGCAGCAAAAATAAATTTCAGAACAGTTTTTTTTCTGTATAATCAATTAAGCTAGATCTGTATTTACATACCTCTTTCTTGGCTCAAATTTGGTTTTACGGGCAAATATTAAACTCAAATTCTCTGATACATGGCAATTGTAAAACAGTGGATCAGTAAGTGCAAGTTATCCACATGTCATCATCTTGTTGCATGAATTGAGTAAGAGAACATAAAACAACTTAATATAGGTGATGTCACGCCAGATATACGCATTCAGATAAGTGAAAGTCGTCGTGACTGTAACTTCGTCAGGGGTCATTATTGTATCAGCCGGGAAGGAGTAGCCAGTCAAGATTCATTACGTGTGTATAGGCGATATCTTTGCCGCGCTTCTCTCCTCGTGCATGTCTCGCTACACGTGCTCGCATCGCGTTTCCGTTGCATACTCAAGCCCGTCCAACGTCGATTTGGTGCGCCACGCAATCCAAGATGGCGCTTCGCAAAATTTTTTTTTGGGATCACTTTCTAAAAGAGCTTAGACACCAGGCTCAATTAGGTAACCAAGCCTTCTGATGACATATTGCCAATTCTTCACTCACCTCCCTTGACTGGTTGAAGTGCGATTGGAGGGGGGCAGGGAAGGGAACATTCTTGTTACTTGCGCAGGAAAAAACAAATGGGAAGTTATCTATTAACCTTTGTTCTTGTAATTTTCGCGGGAAATAATATTACCTTATCTCGCTGCGCCCCGGTCATACAGGACTCCTCTGCCTTTGGCTAAAATACGCCTTCTTCGTTAATTCGAAACACTACTCACGGTCAAATGGAACCAAAGGGAATTTCAAACTTAGGAAACACTTGTTTTCTGAATAGTGTCTTACAAGCTCTGCTCTCGGTGACATGTTTTTCCGAAGGACTCGCTGGATTGCAGCACAATCGCAAGAAGTGCACCTCATCGAGAACAGGTCTACCACTTCCAAAATGCATTATCAGTTTCCCCAGATGTCCATGTCCAGGCAGTCCAGGGGTGCATTATTTCATGACAACGTACTCTAACAAGTTGGGTATATATATATATATATATTTAATACCACAGAAGCAAATAATTTCTGGTGTTATCGCTAATTGAGATATCAGATCAAGAAAGTATAAGCTTATATTTTAGGTGAAGGGCTTTTCGAGTTATATTTATTTGTACGTTGTAAAATTACAAAGCAAAACACTAAATTTAGGTAGTAAAACACTAAAATACTCACTTACCTTTCGGTCTCAAAACGTTTTTCACTTTACTGCTTTACTGCTCCCGTGTGACGACATGAACTAATAGCAAAAAAGGTCACGTGTATTGCTGCCTCTAGCGTTACGTTATATTTTCATTGTCACGCTATAGGAATGCGAACTGAGTGGCACTGTTGAGTGATCCAATTTCTCCAGTTTCTGTCTGTACTTATGGGATAGAGAACCGTGATCGTATTGTATTTACTGTGGCTAACTGCATCCATCTAAACATGGAGAAAAAAAGTTACACCATACTTCAATTGGCAGTTATTTTCGTGTCGTGTCTTGGCTTAGAAGGTTTGTGACATGTTATTTCTACTGATTCAGTACAGTATTAATTACGCACCTCTTGTTTGATTTACTAGTCTTTCTGAAACTCGATTCTCTCCTCGAATATATTTTCTTAAATTCGTTGGCACTTCTTTGAAGTTCTGAGCTTTCTATTATCACTGAATTGAAAGCAAAAGGGTTTGTTTCGATCTTGCTATCGTTGTAATGATTGTCGATCCAATTGTCGTTGAATCGATGAAGTAAGGATCACGAAATGCTTACCTGTTGAAAAATTAAACCGGAATTGTGTACTCATTTTAATTTTAGATTAAACTCGCATCATTCCTTGCTATCGATATCTCATGACAACGAAATCTTTGTCAGGCAATTTTACTAGTCTACTTCATCATCAGCCGACTTTGTTCCCACTCAATGTGTTTACTCATTAAACAGTCGTGTTGTTTTGCATGACACAAATCTGCCCGAAAATAAACGCAAAAGACTCTTGTCACCTCTCACTTATTAGCTGCATCAATTAATGCAGATTTAAACACAAATTTGCGCAAGAACTAAACGGCAAACATGCTCTGCCCAACAACCTGTATTATGATTCTCATGTGTCACTTGCGGTTAGATAACGGCGTAATAAGTGACCAACAGTCTATAGACTGCACGATTTTACGCCACTGTCTGTGTCGGTGTACATATTGTAAGATTTTAAGCCTACTAACGGTGTAAAATCTCTTAGTATGTATATATACCGCCTGAAAGAAATTACGCCGTTCGTTATCGGTGTAAAATCTTACGGTATATATATATATATTACCGACAAATATTACGCCGTGAGTTACTGGCGTAAAATCTTTAAGTATATATAACACCGACTGAGCCAAATTACGCCGTTAGTTTCTGGTGTAAAATCTTTCAGGTTGAAAATATACCGGGCAAAATTTCCGCACAGCCCCATACATCATTATACATCCATATATGGGGCTTTATTTTTCAGTGTATCACCAGTAAGATGTACATGCATAATTAAGTATGGGGCTGTGCGGAAATTTTTCCATATACACATTTGTCGATGTCTTCCAAGCTGTATCAGTAGAAACTTTGAGTCAGGTTAAATGTCGTCAAAAGTCTTTGTTGATCAGCCTCATTATTTTAGGTGTCGCAACGACAAATTAATCCATATAAGACCTTGTTTCTGTAATTGACAATCACAGTAGAGCTGCATAATACCTGTGTATAAATGTATATATAACGGTTCAAACTTTCCGCAGAGGTTTAGAGAAGATTTCAACTTCTCGAAGAAATCTGAATAGTTTTATACTGTGATAACCAGCCGGACAGTAATGTACAATAATTCTCTACCAGAGCTTAAAATGAACGCTCAAAATGCAAACGGTTCTACAGTCTCTGTGTAGTGATATTAATCATTCATTGAAGCCAGCTTTCATATTGCTCACGGCAATAGCTACTTCCGAAGAGGAGCGAAAATTAAATGCGATGGGTATTCAATTAGTTAAATTAATTAGTTTAAATAGCTCCTTAATTACATCTCTAAATAGCATGATCCTAGTAATTACTGGATTCCTAAATGCATGTGTGGAGTTATGTAATGTGTCACGTTAGGTCGAGTGTGTGACATCATGACGTCAACAAAATCACATGATATGCGAGAAAAACCTCGTGCGAGATAGTGTTTTTCTTTTGGTACTGAACTTTTACAGTGGACCGATACTGTATGATTGTAGATGTTTAGATTCGGTCGGATTATTAACTGGTTCCGGCACAATACAGGACAAATTGCTATTTAAAACGGACAACACATGTCAATACATATTCGAAACTTAAACAGTGATCATATTGGACAGTGGAATGAGAAGGTCTCCTTGGTGAGAAACAGGAAGCGATGATCAAAGTGTGATAACCAGGTTGTTGACAACTCAGTAAAAGCTAGCCTGTAATTAATAATAATTATCTATAGAAAATTACCTAGCTTCCCCCCCCCCCCCCAAAAAAAAAAAAAAAAAGATGGCAAAACAAAACAGAACAAAAGCAAAAAAAGAAACGCCTGGGATAGGTAAAAAATGATAATTCTTGCAAAATAATTGAAACCTGATCCTTGTTATCAACCTAAAGACTCGAGTAATACGATAAAGAGTCGGGAGGCATAGGGCTGTAAAAGTAAAGGAGGCGGGATAAAGTGGTACTCAGCGTAATTTCATTCAGTCGGTGATAAATATACTGTTAGATTTACGCCAGTAACTAACGCCGTAATATCATTCAGTCGGTGTTACATATACTGTTAGCCGATTATACGTCAGTAACTAACGCCGTAATTTCATTTAGTCGATGTATACACATACTGTAAGCCGGATTTTACACTGGTAACTAACTACGTAATTTCTTCCACTCGGTATATTTACATACTATGTAAGATTTTACGCCGTTAACTGACGGAGTAATTTTGCTTAGTCGTGATATGCATACTGTAAAATTTTATGTCGGTAACTAACGGCGTAATTTGGCTCAGTCGATATATATACATACAGTAAGATTTTACGCCGTTAACTAACGGCGTAATTTCTTACAGTCGGTAATATATATACTGTAAGATTTTACGCCGTTTACTGATGGCGTAATTTCTTCTAGTCGATACTGTACACTGTAAAATTTTACGACGTTAAGTAACGGCGTCACTTCTTCCAGTTGGTAGTATATGGAACATGAATTTTACGCCGTTAACATAATTTTATATATTAATTTTTTATAATTGATATATCGACGCAGATAGTGGCGTAAAACATGTAAAATCGAACAGTCTATAGACTGTGTTAGTCACATATTACGCCGTTGTCGATATATCCTTGTTCGGTTTAGTTACGCAGCGCGTTGTCTTCCCCAACAGCTGTGAGTGTGTTTAACTTCCCAGATCCAAAAATGATTTCCCTTACCGCTGTACTTCCCTTTGGGAATGAAAGATCTGAAATAAAGCCGTCGAGTCAAAGGAAAGAGCACATGAATGTAGTAAGCAGGAAATACCCACAATCACTCTGTGTTACAAGGCGTGTGCAATATGAAAGTGCTTTACTTAAAGGAAAGTATATTTTAACCACAGACTGCGGTCGTAGACCTCCGCTACCACGAGTAATTGGTGGTGACGAAGCTATTCCACACTCTTGGCCTTGGCAAGCAAGGATCATTCTCCAGGACAAAGATGGAAAGTGGAACCATAAGTGTGGCGCGTCCCTGATTCATCCAGAATGGATCGTCACCGCAGCCCATTGTCTGGCGTTCCACCCGGATCCAAGGATATATGAAGTCATTCTAGGTTTGTCTTAAAATATGTGTCAGACAAATAATGCACCGCTGAAGCAATACGCACCCATAATGGTTAGGCATAGGATTTACGGCTAAAGCTGTCCCTGAAATTCTGTACTATGTTGTTCCCTTCTTCAGTGAGACAAGGCTAAAAGGTTTAATTTGCAAGGCTACAATGATATAAAAGCAATTTATCTGTGAGCATCATTCTCCCTTTTTTTCATTGGTTACCGAGAAGAGGGCTCAAAGAAAAGTTCCTCATTGAAATCTGTCCAACACCTTTATTTCTTAAAGAAAGTATAGCTTCTTGCTCTGGGCCTCACCGAAACAATATTTATCTTATTCGGTCCACTTGGTAGACGCATTCACGACTTGTTCAATACAGAAATGCACTTCGGCCGCCGAGGTTACAATGAGCAGTACAATCAAAAATTTGGTTTTCCTGGCGGCTCCCAAAATTTATCCAGCTCAGATGACCAACGAATTACAGAAGACGCGTTTAGTTACAAAATGCTCAATGGAATACTTCACCACATACACCTTCCCCCCATTCCATCCGAAACTCATTTAGCGAAGGCATATTACAGTTGAAGCACGGTCTATAAATGTATGATAAATATGCAGTCAGATAAATATATGTCTGACGGTTTATTTATTGATTAATTGATAGGAGATCATGATTGGGCGAAAAAAGAACCAACAGAACAGTATTTCGAGGTTTCACAGTTGTACTTAAACAGGCTATATCAAAAGTTCTCGGGATATGGTCACGACATTGCGCTTATTAAACTGTCAAGACCCGCGATTCTTAATAAAGATGTGAATCTTGTATGCCTTCCAAAGCAGAACAACAGAGTTGCTATTGGCAAGATGTGTTACTTGACAGGTATACACGTAAATTTACCTATTATAGCATATTTAAGATAAGCGAGTTTGAATGAAAGTATGTAAACACGGTTGTGACTTCGCCGCGCTTTCTGTGTTTACCAGAAATATTTTATAAGGGCATTAAGGGACTTCATGTTTACATAACCTCGTGTGAACAGTAGGAGTGTTGGGAGAATTTTCGAAAGTTATGCAAACCAGCAAACATAGTTTTCCTCTCAACTGCTTTTTTCAAACGATACCAGTCATGTTGCTTCCATAATTTACGTTTTGTTGTCTTTCTTGGACAGGCTCTTAGATTTTCTGTGTTTGACTTTGTTTTGCTTTGTTCGTCGTTCGTAGTTCGTCGTATTGTTTAGTTAATGTTTAATGTAAATAGCCTGTAAGAAAGGACTAAACTAAAATTTTCCTTAGCCCGGAGATGAGTTAAAATCACACATGTTGGACATATAATTTCGATTTCCAATCTTTCCTAGGATGGGGAGTTTGGAAACCTGGAGCTCACCGGTCCGAGAAAGCTCCAAAACTGCAGCAAGCTCGATTACCCACAGTCAATTTTTCAACATGTTGGATTGGAAATTCTTTTTTCCAGCCTATCGACGACGAAACGATGCTTTGCGCAGGTTTTGGTAAAGGAAAAACTATAAGTGGATGCAATGGTGATAGTGGTGGACCTTTAGTATGCGAGGAGGATGGAAAATATGTTTTGAGGGGTGCTGTGAGCTGGGGGATACCCGGATGTCCAGGCGGAAGACATTTTTCGGTTTTTGCTCGTGTGAGTTCTTTTGTGGAATGGATTGAAAATCACATAAAAAATAGCGACATCTATTAACTTATCGCTCACGTATCCCTATTATCTAAGTATATCAGGTATCTTAGTGTCTTTAGTTCCCGTAGGATTATTTTCCAAGTGTGCAAACTGATTTCAATCACAAAGGAAGCAACGATTTTGAGTATCTCAGGGGTATGGTACAGCGACTACCTACTCGGCTTTCCAGACAAATGTTTATATAGCGTCTCTTGTTCTTGTTCGCTGTTTTAGAGGCATTAGTGGGAGTTTTCCGAAGAAGATTCCCTTCTAAACGTCTTCTAGGAATTTAGGAGCATACCGCACCAGATTGTATTATTTTTCAATTACTGTTACCTTAGCAAATCAGGGGCAGTAAGGAGTGAGGGGAGCCAACTTCACTTCCGTACCCTCCCCTCCCTACTCGGTCACTTTGTAATAGATGTATTGACGAAACTTGAAAACTAGCCGGCAATCAGAGCATCAGGTCTCTAGACACGATATACTTTGAAAACGACTCCTTCTTCATTGAAGCATGTCTTTTATTTAGTTTATCAGTTACTTTTATCATTGATATAGAACAGTGGGATCACTCCTTCTCTTGGTGTCACATTGAAGAATACTCTTTAAAAAGCTGTTAAATGAAAGAGAAAAAGAAGTGAATTAAAGAACTAGTTAGAATATTAATAGTAGTAATCCTTATCAATGATTTTCTTGAGGTAGCTTTTTCAATAAAACCTGCACATTGAGGGAAATTTCGCAAAGGCAACGAGTAACCAATGACCGTTAACTTGTGATCACGAAGATTCTGTCGCCGGAGTGCTACCCAATTTTAGCTTTGTGTGCGGCACCAGAAAGTATGGCCCACAACTATATATTATGTCCTGCTTTCTTTGTATGGACAGTGCCGTACTCCGAAGTAATTCTTCAATATCGATATATTTTATTCTCGTTTATAATCAAATTGAATCTCTCTTTTTGTTCAACACAGTAAAGTTAGAGGGCAGCATACCCCTATCAATGTTTCTAAGCATTATCCTGAACTAACCTTCAACATCGACCACATGTTTTGAGGCAGTTTTTGATAACGTAATCATGCTCGCGGCAAAGATACTTCCAAAGGTAACATTCTCGGTTGCCATCTCTACAAGCTAACGAAAAAGAACTTACACATTTCAACTTTTTCAATGATTAATACTCCAGGTGATACTGTAATCACTTGTTTATGGCCTGGGCATCATTGTTTTAGAAAAGGCGAAATTATTTGTCACGTACAAGGATGACACATTCGTAATAGCTTTAAGCTTTTTCTCTTTTTTTCCTTTACTTGTTATATTATTTGTTGTCTGGCTGTTTGTTTGTATTTGCGATCTATTTGCTTTGATATTACAAAACGTCGGTGATGAATGGTCTAATGGAAAATGATCTGAAAATGTATCTCGATTAAGGCAAAATTTGTACTTACAACCACCACCCCCTCCACCCACATGACCCCCTCCACCACTGCTATAACCTAAAAAGGAAGAAAAGACAGTAATCCGTGCAGCTATGGAGAGCATTTGTTTGGGGGACTGAAAACAGGGAAGAAAATATAGATATGAGACTTCGGTCTAAATAAATTTATGGGAAGTTGCTGTTGGTCAGTGGTTTCATTACGGTTGAAATGCTCTTAACACTTTAACTTTAAGAGTTGGTCAACATGTAATCTCTCCCTAATTATCCCCACGTAATCCAGTAAATAGCCAATGAGAATACTCAAACGTACTAAGTAGAGGTTTTCATCTTTATCTAACACCAAATTCTCGTTACTAATTCTCAAGGATATGTGTGGCGGCCAGAGGAGAATTAATGATCAGAACTTGTCGGGGAGTTGAAGAGTTAAACGTTGTGCACGGTGAAGGTCAAAAGAACCAACCTACTATCGTCCAACAAAGAAGCATTTAGCTGCACTAACGACGCCCAGGACTTGAAGATATCATGAACCCCAAAACGAACAGACATGCCACTAAACTAAATCATAATTATAACACATGCCTCTGACTTAAAAAGCCGAGAAACGATTATCACAGGTGAACTACAATTAAAGCAATTTAGAAATGAAGCCTGAAAAATTAAGCCTTAGATGTATTTGTTTCTGCTACCAACTTATCTACGAAGCTACATGTTGGAAGTGAGGCAAAGTTAAGATGGTCCTTCGTTCCCGTAGCGAAAGCTAATCACGATTGTAAAAAATAAAAGATCACGTTTCTAACTTAAGATGGCAAAATTAAAAATAGTACAGACATGATGAACCAAGAGAATAACGAGGGTGAGGTGAAAATCAAACAACACAAAACGACAGCATTATCATCAACAGTGAAGACGAGTACCATAGAGAGATCGAATGCCGTTGATGTCGTCAGAATGAAGTTGCATGTTTTCAACGTATCCCGTATAATAAGGATACATAATTGCTCTGCGCACATCAGAATGCTCAAGACCCAGAGCGTGACCGAATTCATGGGTGGCAACCCACAGTAAATTTGTTCCTCTTGACTGCCCGTCTGTGTATGTTTCATCTTCGTCAAAATGGGCACGGCCATCTGATGGAAAGAAAGCATGTGCCAAGACCTTTCCCGGCCCGTCAAAAGGGAAGTTGCATCTCCTTTCACCGTATACTCCTCCATGAGATCTGGATCCAAAACTTTGGAAATACAGAAGTATAGTTACAGTTAGAGGTAAAGTACTTAGGACGCTTAATAAATTAAAACGAAAACGTAAAGTGAATATGCTTACCGACTTAAAAAAGTTTTGGTCTAGCCTTTATCTGTTCAGAGTTTTGTGGTTAATATACAAATCTTGACGGGCTCCTTAAATTACTTTTTTCGCTTTAATTCCTGACTTTTGACAAAATTTTAATAGTCAGGGTGGGTAGGGATAGGAGGACTTTGGTTGTGTCACAATAAATTTATCTGATGCCCCCATAAGGCCCCGTATCATTCTTATGATCCTCTCCCCTACCCCTCCCCCCTTTGCAGTAAATTGGCGGTCAATTTTCTATAGTCCCCCTTAATGCTCTTTTTATCATCAAACCCCCCCCCACCCCCCTCCCAAAGTCCAGGGTGATAGATCATGACTGATCCCTAAGATTGTCGTGGCTGATGCCAAAATCGTCATTTTTTCCTTCACATCCTCCCACCTTATTTTAAGATCGGCATTGGAACTGGAGGATCTGGAAAAGGACAAGCCTGAGACATCAGCCCAGTATTGTAAAGCTCTTTGGAAAATGCGATCTTGTTGCGAATGAGGCAGATCTCTACCATGCTGGATAAAATACGTTAAATGTGTTTTACGCCACTTCGAGCCAGTCTTATAACGTCTTACGCGACTCCTAGCTGCCACATCATCAGGCATTCCGCATCGCGGTTTTTTCATAAGCGTTACTGTTGCACGATCGAGTCGGCCGGTAACCTTAAGCCCCGCAAAACGCTGGAAGTTCTTGATTGCAGTGTTCACATCATGATTTCCAGACCTTGAGGTCGAAAGGTAATGGTACTGGCTTAAGAAATTCTATAACAAAGACAAGTTAATAGGAAATAACGAGTTATCAACGAAGAAGAAGAATGAGGATTTTCCACGGGAACATAACTTCAGCTGTTAGTCAATGAATGGTATAGGTATCAAATATGTATGTAAATTCAGTGTATCTTTTTTGTAATGAGATTGTGATCCTTAATGGACAAAGACACGGTGAATAGTAGTTTTAGTGTAAAGAGCAATAACAGTCAGATCCTGGCGATGGTTCTAGGAATCTCACGCGAGCCACTTGAAACCAGCGATTTTACATTTACTCTACCGATCGAGTTGCTCCTTCTCACCATCTTGTAAAACCAGCAGACTGAAAACGAAGGTACTTTTCAAAGAGGGGACACTACGAGAACACGGTTAATTTGCCGTCGAGTTTCAAAAGGTCGACTTGAATTTTCGAGTGGTAACAGAACATGGTAGCAAATTTACGTTTGGATTATGTTTTATCTCCCACCTCACCACCTGTGGTAGACACGGACTGGTTACTGAGTTCGCTTGACAATAGAATTGTAGAACCTAGTGATAGTGGCTACATTTTGGGCTGCGCACTATACCTTAACAGCCCATTTCATCCACCCAGGAGTATTAATGGTGGCAGCGAAACCTTACAAAATACTTTTGGGTTGCTTGCCCACGGATGAATGTCAGTCAGATAGAGTGTGAATGTACCCTTGAACCACCGAGTTGTTTTATACTCAGAAACGTGATAGGCTTAGGCGGCTGTGCAACTTGCAATCGCATACAGACTTTTCCTTTCTTATCCTATATAAACGCAAAAACAAGACGCTTTACCATAGCCTCTGTAGCATCATCTTCAGCGTGGGTCAGGGCCAGCGCCCCAAAGGAGAGAGCTAGAAGCAACAACATAGTGTTCGAGAAATCTCGAAGATAATGGCGATTCTTTTTTTACGTATTAGTTTTTTCATGTGTCATTTGTACATCTTGGACAGCTATGATAATACAGACTTCAACAAATATGAAATTGCTTTTTTAGAATTGAGCTTTACTTTGCTCAGTGTGAATGTGATGTAATCTTTCGAAATAAAAGTAATATCTATGTTTACATCAGGAGGAAGAAAAACTCAAACTGATGTTTGCACAACTGAATGTCCCCTAAATTTCATATCTTTATATGTTTTTATACAAGAAGTGAATCGAGAGTGGATGTTGTTAGATATTTTCGACAGGATATCTGGTTCAAGAAGAGAGCTGCGCATTCCGGTATATTAAAGTATGGTAACGTCTGCAAGTCTGTCCGAAAAAAGATGTTTTGATCATTATTTCCTTTCCAGCAGTTATTTTAAAAAATTGAATATTGAAGACATATCACCTTCCGCAATATGAAATATGAAATGTCATAATATCAACTTGGTATAAAGTTTAATCATTCGGTACGAGATAACATAGAAAAAAAGCCCCACCCCCTCCCCATTCACCGAGATGGAGGTGGCTAGTGGTGGATATTTACTGAGCTGCGAAGTGGCGACACGATTTCAATATATACTAAAAAAATAAGATAATACGACACAAAAATATGGTTTTAACTTATTTATTCCTTAAAAACACTTGCAATATTTTATGGCACAAATCCCGCGCGAGTTTCTTGGAGTTGAATGGCGTAGGATATTCGGAGTTTGATTAGCCAATCAGAGCTCGCTTTCAACGCTTACCACTGTTTTTAACATATGCTAAAACATTTTATAACTCCAAAGATACATTGTTGTTTAATGTAGGAGTGACTATATTTTTTCCATATGTGAAGCAAACAAAGCTAATCGATATTTTTTGTTCCAATAATGCAACATTAATACTTAATAAGGAGATTCGCATTTTTTAAGGGATTTCTTGTCATAACGTTTCCCTCTCATTAAGACTCATCAGAAAATGTTCTTCTAAGAGAAAATACCTCAGACAAGTTTAAAACGAAATTTCATATGCATTGAAGGGTAAGTTTTAACAGGTTTCAGCATTGGCTGCTTTTATTTTTGTCAACGGCTTTATGTTGGTATTAAAATTCACGAAATTTGATATGAACTGAAGAGTGAATATCAAAAGTATTTAGCAGTTGCAGTTTTTATTTGATCAGCTTGATGTTGGTAAAAAAATTCACTATGAATGTGAAGTTTTATTTCAGCATCTTTACACAACTGCACTTTCGAGGGAAGGTAACATGACATAATTTGATCAGTTTATAGCGTCTCTGCTCTTAAGTCTAACCAGCTGATACTGTATACAATAAGAAGATTCAATAAGAACCTTAAAAGTTAATCTAACAGTTTTGCACATCTGGACAACTGAGAAGTGGTCATTTTGATTTGTTTGAACAGAGATTTAGCTTAAAGCTTATGTTAGGCATAAAAGAGTACCACGAGACCAGACGGTTTGCTAGAAGAGAAGAAGAAGTCGACAACATGTGGTCGCTACCGCTCCTTGCCACAATCGTGGCATTAGGAGTCGTCCAAGCAGAAGACGAAGAATCATTTGCGCTGGTAGGAAGAAAGATTTATAATGAAGAGGATTTATTGGGAATCTTACCAGCTCTGAAAAAGCTGCAGTAAAAACCAGTTTCAAAGAAAGTATTAGTCAACTGTAACTAGGATGATTAACCCAACAGCTTATTTCCAGCTTTTAGCAAAGGAAATCAATGATACTCCATCAAGTTGGAGTTTTTCAATATCATTTATGACTACAAAATTATTTGAAAATGAAATATCTGAGTTCAATGAAAAAGGTTTGCATACATTTAAGAAATATGTCGCAGCTTTTTCTATACTTTACCGGCATCGTTTCAGGACTTGCGAATTTTTTTTTTATTTCGGAGAATCAGCCCCTTCGTTCCTTTCCAAACAGGAGATGCCACGGTCATTTTTGGGCGCGTGAAAATAGAATTTGCTGGGACTCGTACTCTTTGTTTAGCTATGAAATGATTTTACGTGCAAATGTGTGTCTTTGGTACTAATACTTGGTACTCCTGTAAAGCATGATTCCTGGGCGTGAATACGACGTTCTTTCTGCTTCCTTTTCAGATATTTTATCAAATTGAACTTTAATCTTACGCTAACAAATTCGGTTAAAACATATGACACTTCTCTAGTTTTTTACATGAGCAACTGAGTGATCACGTTTTTTAACTTTTATCGTAACAGAAATATCTCAACCAGTTCAGCTATCTTTCAATGTCAAGATCCGGCAACCATGATGTGAAGAAAGCCATCAGCAACTTTCAGCGTTTTGCTGGCTTGGATGTTACTGGTCGTCTGGACAGACCTACTCTAACTTTGATGAAAAAACCGAGGTGTGGAATGCCAGATGAAGTGGCCAGCGGTAACCGTTTTCGCCGCTATAAAACAGCCTCAAAATGGAGGAAGACTTCTTTGACGTACTACATCCAACATGGCCGCGACCTCAGCAGAGATCAGCAAGACCGTATTTTTGCTAAGGCGTTGCAATATTGGGCTGACGTATCATCGCTCTCGTTCAGGAGAGTGAACAGTGCAGGACAAGCTGATTTGAAAATCAGGTAAAGCGTTGTCTTCAACGAAAACCTTTTTATCAAAATGGTCATCTTCAGATAAAGACAAGAGTAACAAAAAATGATAGACGTATGTCTGCCTGTTTGTTTATCTGTCTGTTTACATATAAATTGCATGGTTGTTTATGGTCTATGTGTATGTTTGTTAATTTGTTCAGTTTACCTTTCCTGATTTTAGTTTTGGAACCCGAAGACACGGAGGAACCAGTGCTGAGAGAACATGTGGAAGTACATTCGACGGCCCGGGTAGGGTTCTGGCACACGCGTACTTCCCCTCGGACGGCCGCGCCCATTTTGACGAAGATGAAACATACACAGACGGGCAATCAAGGGGAACAAATTTGCTGTGGGTTGCCACCCATGAATTTGGGCATTCACTCGGTTTGGAACACACCAACGTCAAAGGTGCAATCATGTACCCCTACTATACTGGCTACGTTCCTAATATGAAGCTTCACTCTGATGACATTGCAGGGATACGCTCACTTTACGGTGAGGGAGAGAAAACTTATCATAGCTTCTCTTAATTACAGTAGTTAACATTGTAGGCATTCTTTTAGGCCATGATGAAATACTAGCCCGAATTTTGAAAAGCATGTGAGTTTGTTTTCCTCCAGAGCGGAATTTAATTTTCCGATATCTTTAAGAACTTTTCAGCAACAATCATAGCTTTAAATTCAAGCCATAGGCCTTTTAATTCGAAGATGATGATGATACGTACGCCACAAAGATAATTTTTATGGTGCTCTATTTTACAACCTACAGTGATCAAGTGCATGGTCACGAGTGGGAGTTAAGTGCAATATGTTGCTTCGTACATTCAGCAGAGTTGAGAGAAGTGTCTTACTGGCGAAAGGGAGGCAGGAGAACGAGCCCTGTAGAAGCCTGAATTTGTGTCAGGATCATCTTTTCCCATATTATTCACACATTAAAATAAATTTCTTTTATTTCTAAAAAGCTCACTGACTGATATTTCCTATTTGTGTCATCATCATATAGGATCTGGCGGCGGAGGTGGAGGTGGGGGCGGAGGTGGAGGCGGTGGTGGAGGTGGAGGTGGCGGTGGCGGAGGTAAGCATCCGGGAGAGGGGAGACATCGATCAATTATTCTACCTTTTGAGTAACACGAAAGTGACACCCTCGCTAGGTTGTAAGGAGGGAAGGGATGGGCTGAAACCCTTCCTCGATTTTCGCCCATTTTCATTTTTTTTGACACAATCTCTTGGAATACTTTTCCCTTTGATAAGGATTATGAGTTAGTCATTTCAACTATGTACGCCCTTGGATACTGGTCTCGTAATCCAAAATAGCCGAACAGGTCTTATTTCGTTTTTGTCCCTAAAATAGATTTTTTTCCAAGACACCCCATTTCTGCTGAACCACTATTTCCAAAATTATCAAATCTAAAAGGGCTTAGATATAAACTGCTACTTCAAAGTAAATCTTTCATTCGGTGGATCTTAAGAACTTGTAATACTTCACGTCAACAGAAACTGCTACACCATTCGCCTTTTTTCTCATAATACCTCCAGGAGATTTGTTATGAAATTTAAACCAAATTTTCAGCGAGCTATAATGACCAAGATGTGAATGGGCAGTTACATTAAATTTTCAAGCAGTGATTTCCTCGAAGAAATTGCACCCAGTCCCCCAAAAAAGTTAAGCTTATGGAGGTGCCCCATACACGTAAGAGGACCCAGTTAACAGTTTATTTCTGATTCATTCTACCTTTGGGAAACAGGAATGATAACCTTTTTTTATTTTCAGGCTGTGTAGACAAGGATCGACGTTGCCGTGGATGGACCAGATACTGCCGCTCCAACAGATATGTCCAGGCTAACTGTCGGAAAACATGCAGATTTTGCTGAACTGGATGGTACGTGATATGTAATGAGTTAGACCTTAGTCCGAGTCCGAGGGCAGTGCGACCTTGGTCTGAGGGCAGTAAGACCTTGGTCCGAGGGCAGTAAGACCTTGTTATTTTTTTCTCAGTTCGTGAGCGGGCGGTATTCTACAACTCCTGAAATCTGATTGGTTCCGAGAGCGGGCAGTATTCTCCCCATCCGGCCCGCTCACAGCGGGCGGTTTTTTTCGCAGCCATTTGTTAGGTTTTAGAAAAAAATAAAAATGTTATTCACCAGCCAAGGTCGGTCCGTATTGGGAAAAACTGTGCTCTCTGTCTTGTGTATCTTGGCGGCATCCAAGACCTTGGGCACAGTTTTTCCCAATACGGACCTCCCTTCTGGTGAATAACATATATGTCCGAGGGGAGGTTAGTGCTGCAGGAAGATTAGGATGACTGATTCAAAAAAGTGCAAAAATAAAAGTTCCAATTTTTTGTTGGCTGTGCACGGTCTTAAACTCATCAGACCTTTCTCCAAGTCAAAGTTTGTCTTGTTGTCCTGTTTCTTCTATACTTGATGTACTCATCTAATCAGCGACCTTATCTGTTACGTTAGCTAGAGAAATCACAATAGAAAGACGAAATTGCCTTTGCGTTTAGATTAAGTTAAACCAAGTGGAAATAATGAGACTGATCAGAACTGACGAGAGGAACCAGGCGTTAGATTTTTGCTGCTATTTGTCTCTTATTTTCCTTTTTTTTTAACTTTTTTATTTACTAAATTTATTCAATATCATAATCGTGTCGCTATTCTGTTTTTTGGTCTTAATGCTTTACTTAAAACACTCTTCTGATTGGCTTCTTTGTCTATTCTGGATACTTTGATAGAAAGGCGAAATGACTTACTTTCAGGATGATGTCAAACGTTTAAATTATGTTTCGACGAGTACAGGGCATAAAGTTTTTGCCGATAGTTTTTAATCATTACCATTTTATTCGATGCATTTTGTACAATCTATTTTGTTTATTTATATCATCCCTTATTTTATGATTTTTATCCCGATCATATAGGTACTCACATCCAAACTACAGTTATTGAAAGGAACGACATCTGGAGCACCTTTTGAAAGCATAAAAATCGTTAGCTTTGACCATGAGTAGCACTGTAGCTTAGACGAACGAATGAATGATTAAACGGATTATTCAAATGAACGCAATAGGTCCTGAGTGCTTTGTATGGTTGCAATTTTGATGCTGTTCGTCCTGATATAGTATAGGCAAGAATTTGAGGCACAAATCGTCAAAGAACAGTCAAGTTCCTCTCTTTAACCCCATGCATTGCGCTTTTCGATCGTGTGTAGTAAAAAAACTGTGTTATCACAACGGCTTGTCAGAAAAATGATCAAGGACCAATGAGAACTAAATGTTTGTTCAAAACTCGGGACGATGCAGGCCAAGAAATTAGAGATTTGAGACTTCAAGAAACATTATCTTAACCCCGGAATAATTTTGGTGGCCAGTTGCGAATTTCTCAAACATTGACCGACCCAATATTTCATTGTTTCTATTTTAGTGTTTACTAAATAATTTTGCACAATTTCAAAATGATAATATAAAGCCGTAACTCATCCCCTATTTTAGCAAATATATCTACGCACTTAAACAAGGGAAATCTGTTATAACGAGTCTGTGCTAGGCTCTCGATCAAAGAATACGGAAAGATTCTTGGCTCGAAAGTAGAGACGAAAGTGCGAGATCCTGGGCCGTATCAAAATATATCCTGAGTTCAAATGATTTCAACTGATCACCATCGAAGCTAATCTGGGACCCTGATCGTCGTCATTCACCCAGGGCTCTCTATGAAGTAACATAAATTCGCCTGTCTTTTTTCTCTTCTTTAGCAAATACTAAGATTTACCAAATGCAATTATGTATTTTTTATTGAGTTGTATCTGACATACTTCTACATCAATGATTTTGTAGAGTGCGTCTCACGTGACACTTAGTTTCGGCGTTCACACGTTACCTGCAAGCAAAAGAAAGCTCCCATCATTTACTAAGCAGTAAAAGTGAAAAAGAAAAGAGAAAGAAAAAAAGGAAGAAAGAAAGACAGAAAGAAAGGGAACCAATTAACAATTGAATGAATGGATTTGAATGAATAAAATTAATAACTGATAGTTGGTATACAACTTACAATTGAAACAGGACTTGGGGCACCAGTACTTCATATTATCGGGGTATATTCGGCAATAATCAGCATCCACATAAGGTTTGCATCCCATTCTGTCGCTGCACGTACCTGCATGGTATGTCATCATATAATTGACATCAGTTATGAGTCCAAACCGAACCGGTAAATATCTCTGGTTATAACCCACCCATTAATTTTCGCGCGACTTTATTGGCTATTTTACGTCACGTGGTTTAAATTCAGTGGATAGTGATCACGCAATATCCCCATTTACGTTTATATTTGTTCTTCGATTAGTTCTGTCGAGAATAAGCAAAGCCGGTGAGAAAAGTCAGCTCAAGAGTTTCACTTTTCATCTCTTTTACGTTATATGGAAGAAAAACGAACTCATTTTTCAGAGTCCATTGGCAATGACATTGATAAACTAAATGATTAAATAAATAAATATTATTAATATATTATTAAATAAATTATTATTAATTAACATTATTAATAAACTATCTCAGCCGCGGAAATTATCAGCGGATATACCAACCGTCTAAAGGGGCATATTTACTAGATAAGCTTATTCACCATACTAGTTAATGCAGATATGCCAGAGGACCTTAACACTTGTGTAAACACACACAATACATCCTGAATAATTTTAAAACTTCTCTATTTCAATACATTTAAGACTTTCAGGTTTTCTGATCACAAATTCAATCATGTAAAGTGAATTGTTCACTTACAATATGTTTTTGTAAGAACAGTCTATTATCTCAATACTGTTTAAGACAAGTATGCTTGAGGATCTTAATACTTCTATAAACACATACAATAGATCCTGGAAAGTTTTTAACACTTCTCTATTTCTGTGCATTAATAACATCACCAAACGACATTTTTTTTCTAAGCACAGTCTCTTACCTGAATCTGTGGGAGCAGGAGTAGTGGGAGCAAGGCTAGGAATAGGAGTCTGTACTCCACCACCACCGCCAGTGTTGGGGCCTGTTTGAAAGGAAAAGGACAATAAAATTTCAAGACAGTGTAACTAAACCTATGCGTTTTAAGGTGGCCTTCTACAGCACACGTACATTTCAAAAAGGGAAATTGAAAAATCGTTTATGTGACAACCATAAAACTTTATGACTTATCTGAGCAGATCTTCCCAAGAAAACTTCTGCCACAATATTTTGTAGCAATCCATCAAATATCATGTACTCGTTGACTAAGTCGCTCTCTTTGTTTTATCCCATCTTCTTTTAGCTTGCATCTCAAAGCGCTGCACGGCTCTCTGCCTCCCTGCTTAAGCCATCACGTATAGACGTCGTACGAGGACTTTTGTCTACTGTTTATCAAAAAAGTCGCACGCGGGGAAGGCCGGACGAGTCATATGATCATTCAAAAATATAAAACTTTGCGCAAATTGCCACCCCAACAGGTCAAAGAAATAACATCCACTAATAAAATCCATTATGAGCTTGACATGAAAATCAACATATGGAAATGACTCTTCTGAGTGGATCCGACGAGCATGTATGCTTTCCACCAATAAGCAGAGCTTTTACATGTATATCGACTAACTATCGAATAGACGCTAACCCAATTACCCATCATAGCTTCTTGACTACTCAGTAGAGAACTATTTAGCAATGGCTAACACCAGTTTCATTGAGCCATACGCAGCGATAACGTCCATCTTTCTCACCGCATAGTGATCTCCTACATCCCTTTCATGGAATAATGTTAAAAACTAAAATCGCTTTGTACTCACCGTATAAGTACTGTATCCCTGCAATGTCGTCAGAATGAAGCTGCATATTTGGTACATAGCCTGTATAGTAGGGGTACATGATGGCACCACGGACATTAGAGTGAGCCAGTCCTAAAGAATGACCAAACTCGTGGGTTGCCACCCACAGAAGGTTGGTACCACTAGATGTGTCATGAGTAAACGTTTCATCCTCATCAAAATGAGCTCGTCCGTCAGAAGGATAGTAGGCATGCGCCAAAGTACCTCCAGCTCCGTCAAAGGGATAAGGACAAGTCCGTTCCACAGCAGTCCCTCCGTGACTGTACCGTCCAAAACTATGAAGTAAAAGAAGTGTCCTGTTTGCATGGAGGAGTTTATTGAAGAGAAACCTGTCTTTGGTTATTGAGGTTAACCAATCTGTTCTCTGCTTTTGCTTTGGAGTTTAATGATGGTTGAAACAGTTTATTCCTTCTATGCTCATAGCGCAGCTTTTTTCCTCTTTCAATGTTTCCATATTTATTTGCATGTGAATTTCTGTTTTCTCGTGTGCGCTAATAGTCTTTACTAAACAGTGATCGTGTGAATAAAACCTTCTAAGCTAAACATGAAATCAGCTTTCTTAACTCAACCTGAGGCTTACAGTTGTACCTGTGGTTTGCTCATCCCATGACTCTTGCTTAACATTAACAGCGTAAATCGATGTACCTTATCTTGATGTCTGCGCTGTTGGCATCCATGACCTCGCTAAATGACATTCCGGACACATCAGCCCAGAACTTAAATGCTTGACCAAATATGACCGTTTGTTGATCCTAAGGGAGAGAAGGAGGAAAGCTTGTCATACGTGAAGCACAAGCCTATTCATATATACAAAAGAAAAAAGGATTAATTTCGTGGGTACAGGTAGTTCTCTGAAATTACATCCCCTTAAAAAGCACTGTAAAAACATCGTTATCGTGCAATAGCATTTTCATGAAACCTTTCACCTCTTCCACCCCCCTTCGAGTGACTAGCATCTAGTTTCTCCTGTCTTTTCACTTTTGCTCCTTTATTAAATATTTAGATTGGGAGAAAAAGGAAATGAACGCCGACTCAAGAAGCTTTTTATGTTAAAAAAATTCACTTAGTACCAAAGGAAATGTATAGAGAATAGAATGGAGAATCTGCATCTTGATATTAGGGTGTAGCGGGTTGCTACTTACATTGGGTAGATCGTAGCCATGCTGCACAAAATAAGTCAAATGATTCTTTCTCCACTCTCCATTAGTAGCGTACCTTCGCACGCGTCTACCCTCCTCAACAGGGTCTGCCATACCACATCGAGGCTTCTTCATGAGACTAATTGTTGCTTCATCGAGCTCGCCACTCACTGGGAGACCATAGAATTTCTGAAACCCTCGGATAGCAGTCGCTACATCGTGGTTACCGCTTCGTGAGGATGAGATGTATCCATAATGGCCTAGAAATTTCTAGAATATGAAAGTAGGTTAAAGTAATTACTCTGTACAAATGTAGTTCTTAACCTTGAATGTGAAAAATTTACGCTTTACGACTTTGACCAGGGAAAGTGGAAAATATGCAGGCGTTATGTGTAACGACAGTGATGTTTCTTCCTTTTGACATAACTGAAAAACTATCCAATTTTTCCCCTATCTTAGACGAAATGTCACGCAAATACAATGTTTTTTTTTAATCAGAATATTTAGATGCTAAAAAAGGATCAAAGTTAAGTGAGGTGTATGAAACTTCATGGGTTGTTTGATCATGGTCAATTATGGGTGTCAAGACTATACGATCAAATCTCTTTTACACCTTTTTGAAAGGGAGATCCAGCGTTCGAGGAGCTTCAACTATTCAGAAGACCTCTTTCATCAAAAAATCAACTTTACAGTAGGTTTTGAAATTTGCAGACATCTTTCAGGAATCTCCTCTCCTCGTATTTGAGCAAGAGTACACGGGGCAAATTTAAAATAAAAGATTTCAAGACTGCGTAAACCCTGCTAATTAAAGTAAAAACACTTGATTTGAAGCACCACTTTAGAACAAAAAAATACCCTTTTCATACCCAACGAAAAAGTTAGAAACAGTCATTAAGAAGGATTTTTGCCCCATTTTTAAGGGCTTTGAATCATTAGTATTGCATAGTAATAAGCCCTTCCAACTTTTAAAGGAGGCGTGTAATGACAGTAAGTGATACTCAAATGTAAGCCTATATTGAAACATTTTACGTTAAGTTTGCAAGGATTCCTTCACGTTTCTTTTTTCGCTCATTTGCGCTATCGACAA